CGGGTTTGGCTTTTGTATAGGCGTTCGACAGCAGTTTCGGAAGATGGGCCTCGGGCTTCGGACCTTTCTTGGATTGATTGGTTCTCTACTGGTTCGATCTGCTTTATTTGCTGGGGAAGGGCACTATGTGTCGTCATTAGATGTTTTGTTGTTTTTTTAGATTGTGTTTTTGTCTGTATTGTGTTGTTTGTGTTTGTGTTTGTCTTTGTGTTTTAGGTTTGGGTCGTTAGCCCGAGTCAGGGGCGGAGCCTTACTGAGCCCAGTGTGGGCCTAGGCCCACACTGGAAAAAAAAATTATCTTATATACCATATTCAATAAATAATTTAATGCTCAATTAATAAATTAGAAAAACAATAGGAACACCCAAATAAGAGAAAAAAAGAGATAAATGAAAAAAAATTATTATTCTTGTTTATTTTGGTGAAAGTAAATCTAGTTCTTTTTTATTAGATTAGATATAAAAATAAAAAATTTAAACTTGTAGATAATTGAATGTTGTTTCTTAAAAGACTATTAACATATTTAAATTTGTGTGCTTGATAACATGTAGGGCTCTTAAAAGTTTGATATATTAGATAAAACATTTTATACATTATAATTTATTTTTTTGTATCAAATTATGGAGAAAATATTTTTATAAATAGTATTGAGAAAAAGTGCATGTGAAAATATTTCAAGATTAGCTACTTTTGTTCCAAATATATTTGAGGTGAATTATAATATTATTAGGCCGAAAGAAAATGTAAAAACTTTATTGTAGAGTCATACCAAACTATGAAAACTCATAAGAATTTCTATGAATGTGTATTTTGTATTTATATTTTATTGTGATGTATGATACTTGTTTTCTAGAAACAAATAGGTCCCACCTCATATTATGAGCTAGATCCGCCCCTGGCCCGAGTGTCACCTTCTTATCCTGCTGGGATCAGACACTCGGGTACTAACCTGTTTGGGTCTTTTTAGTTTCGTTGTTTTTTTGTGTGTTAGTGTCTTTGTGAGTTCGTGAGTATTAATCCGTTGGGGTCGGCTCTAGACGGTCATTGATTGTCCTCCCACTTTATTCAGTTATTGGTTGTTTGTATTAAGTTGTTGGCTATTTCTATTCAGCTGGTGGTTGTCCTTTTGTACGTTTATTCAGTTATATATAATCTCTCTATCGTTTCGGAAAAAAAAAAAAGTTAATGGATAAATATGGACTTTGGGTGAGATATTTGAGGCCCTAAAATATTTGATTTGTTTTCATATTATGTTTGGTCTAAACAAGTTGTGTGAGGATAAATATTTTCCGGAGTGATATGGTTTTTTTATTTTATTCTCTTTGGTGTCCTCGTGACTGCCTGAAGTTAATTTATCAAAGATTTTGGTAAACCCAGAAATAATTTATCAAGTCCAATATTTATTTCAGGTATGATGAAAAAAAATGAAAAATCATTTCTTTTCTAATTATTTATTTAATTTATTTTTTTGAATTAAGTTTTTTTATCTTCTACAGATGGTAAAGCCAAAATGTTCTTTTCAAATTAAATTTTGAATTAAAGCAAAAAGGATTCTGACTTATTGATTAAAAAAAATCCTGACTGCTAATTAATTTTTGCAAAAAATATCTGGGGCCTCCAAGCAAAAAATGTCTGGGGCCTCCAAATTTCTGGAGACGGCCCTGTCTACAAATAAGATTATTTGGTAAAATTAACTGATAAATCAACTAATACAAAAGTCTCAATACACATCTGATACAAAATTCTTAATATATGTCTTTTTTGAAACGGTACATACAAAAATATCTCAGATAATATTGAGTTTCTTTTTTA